GGGAGAGTGCAAGGGGGGACGGGGAGGCAGCCGGGGCACCGGGGACACCGCCGAGGGGACACCGGGCCCCCACCGCGCACATGCGGGTGGGTGCGCAGCCGGACACGCACACTGCGGCTGCCTGCAGCACGGCCGGGCGCTGCCCAGCCCCGTGGGCACGGCACGTGTGCGCGGGAGCGAGGGGACGTGTGCGCACGTGTGCCGGAGTGGGGGGACGGGGCCGTGCTGGCCCCTTGGCCTCCCCACGCTGCTGCTGCCCCAGCTGCCAGCCACGGCGTGGGGCCTGGGTGTCCTGGGGTGTCCTGGGGCCAGAGGACATGTCCCCGAGCCGTGGTGCTCCTGCCGCGGTTCTGCCGGCCCCTCACCGAGCGGTGATGAACGGCTCCGGCGGAGCTCTGGCACCCGCACGGCTGAATCCGTCTGCGCTATCGATTTTTCATTCACTGCGGCAGAGAGCGGAGCCAGGGCCGGCGCGGCCGCGGGCACCCCGGCGGGCTGGCACGGCAGGGGGAGCCACATTCTCACACCATGGGGCCACGTCCCCCAGGCCACCCCACCGTCCCCATCCCCACCGGCACAGCCAGGCCACCCTGGGGACAGTGCCGGGACCGGGGACCCTCCAGCCTCACTGTGGGATGCCCAGCACGGCCAATCTGGCCCAGGTGTGGGGGTGCCCCCTGTGCCCTGCCCGCGCCTGCCCGTGCCTGCCTGCACAGCTGCCACCTTGCCCAGCACCACGATGGGCACAGCGGGGGCCGGGGATGGAGCAGCTGGGGGGAAGAGGGGAGCAGGGGCACCGTGGTGCCCGCCCGCGTCACCGACGTGTCACTGCGGTCACACACGCTGCCAGCCGCTTCCTTCCAGCCACCGTCACCGTGTGCCGTGGCCCCGCACCGTGGGGCTGCGTCACGGCCATGGGGCTGACGCAGGGCAGGATGCAGCTGCCGTGGCCCACGGGGCACGGGGGGCCCCCAGGCAGCCCCAGCCCGGCCCAGCGCTGCCCACGGGCGTGGGGATGCCAGTACCCGCTCAGCCCCGCGGCCTGGTGACGGTGGCAGGGCCACGGTCCCCGCTCAGCCCCGTGGTGCGGTGAGGGGCAGGGACATGGAGCAGAGTGGGCGCAGCCTGGCCTGAACCCGCTGCCTGCCCCGTGCCGCCGCACACGTCCGACACATGGCAGCTCCGGCTATAAATAGCCCCGCGGCGGCAATCGGCTGAGCCGCGCTCGGGGCCTGGCTGGGGCCGCTGGCCACCCCCGGCCCTGCCACGCTGCCCCTGCCTCGGTTTCCCCACTGCTCCCCACGGCGAATGGTGGCTGAGGAAGGACCCAGCGGCCAGGGCCTGCCCTGTCCCCAGGTGTCCCCTGGCACAGGAGGGACGGGCAGGGCCAAAACGGGGGGGGGGGAGGGGGGGGCTGGCCCAGGACGC